GATTCCAAATTTGAAAAAAATAGTATTATGTAGTACAAGGTCCTGATTTTCAATAAAATGGAATTTTTTCACAACGCCATAACTCGGTATTGATTCATCCAATTGGATTTTTTTTTTCACCAGAATTTTGAGAATTCATTGGGGATCATTTCGTCTCGATTGAGTGTGCTTCTAAAATTCATAGTGAATGAGCTATGGCCTATCAATTACGAGCGCTCCAGTACGTGATGTGAAATCTCAACCTGCTAGTGTGACGTCAGCGTCGAGAGAGAGGGGATAGTCTACGGCCCGGTGAGATAGAGTAGGCCCTGGTTGATAGCCAAATCGAAAAACGATTCCCAAATAGATGTTACATTTGAGAATACTAGAGTCTCGAGATCATACCCGTGTGTTCACCGAACACGCCCGATCGTTCCCTAAGCGGTGGGGAAACGTAAACGGGCAGCAGTAACTACGTTATGAATATTGGCGCGTGCTTGAATTATTTTGAGGTCCAATTTGTCAATTTAATGTACTTCGAAACGGAAAACTAGTAGTTGTGCCTTCTTGTTTTACATATATTATAGGTAGACATCAAATCAATAAACATAGTGCTCTCGCCATCGGTATTTGCTGAACTTCGCTATGGGAAAAATGTTGAATTATTATATTGGGATGAAGAATGATCTATCTATCTAAATAACACCGAAATAATTCAAGGGATGATTCCTTGTGATATAATATGATGAATAAAGGTCATATAAACATGTGTCCTAAACTTGCTTCGTTTTCGAGGTACAGGGTTACGTCCTGATTTCGAATCCGAAGTGATTTTCAACCTATCTTGCCTCCTAATATCATTTTCCGGAAATGTTGGTGGGTCCATGACCAGAGCAGTGTTTTTCACTGAAGATTACCTCACTTTGGTCATAGTTGGTATATATATATCTATCGCTCCTTTAAATTGAACAGTTATGTTAGATATACGGGTTGATATTCCATTATAGAAGTGACATGCACACTGTTTATATTTTTAAATACATCCATCAGTGGGATTGAATTCTATTTTATGTTGAATATCAGAGTGTGTTTTTTTATGTGATATATTTGTTTTGTTTATTTCAAATATATATATTTTTTTAGTAGGCATACTAGTACTTCTTTTATATAATTCTGAAATCTGATCCACCCTGTATTTGTTTCAATTAAATGGCATCAGTAGATAGTAAATAGAATGTTATAGGATAGGGACAGTTGTAAGCCATTTTGACATATCAATATAGGTATTGTATAGTTTCGATACAAAAAAATCTCGATTTTTAACATTCTACGTATAGGTATACCTTGAGCTTGATCAACGAAATCATAGCTCTAGAAGAATCGAAAAATGTAATAAAATATAAGGTGTTCCATTTTGAATAACAAAGCTGCTACTACTATACTACTAAGTACTACATAAATATACTACTTATAATAATTCCTAGTGAAGCAGATGAACATTATCGAAAATAATTTGAATAAAACGAGCGTCCTCGCCAACAAAACATACGCATATAATATGTACATATAGTTACATGATTTTCGATGAGTGGTTCGCTATTAACATGTAGGACTCATCGTGACATAGCGAATTATTGCAAATCAAATCATCGCTTTCATTATCTGATAGGTCGCAGTAGATCACTTGATGCCTATCAAATGTTTCTTATTTATTCGAAAAAAAAAATGTTGAAATGTGATCAAGAAATTTGTTGGTGGCCCACCCCGTACTACAAAAACAAAGACAGCATGAGAGAAGCTGCCTGCCCACTCATTGAATCATGACTGCTTGCTTACGTCTCGGTCTCCCTACCGCTTAGGTAACGATCGAGCGTGTTCGGTGAACACACGGGTATGATCTCGAGACTCTTGTAAGAATGCAGTGACATGATCGATTCGATATCCGTTTAATTCACAGATATTCATTTTAGGAGGGTAACAACAAAATTATCGGCGAAGTATGCTGATAACCTATGTAGTGCTCATATCGAAGGTTTATTCTTGCTGTCAAAATAGCAGGTGTTGAAAAAAATCGTATTAGCACTTTCACTGAAACTACTGGAAATATTCCAATGATACTTTGTTCGAATATGTTTTGAAATTCGAATTATTCATTAAGAAATTCTGAAATCTGATTGGTAGATTCCGTGTAACTTGCGCCTTCAATGAGAATCACATATGAAATCAATATGAATAGAATACGAGTCAGCTTCCAGAACATATCAATATGAAATTTCATCAGAAAGTCATCAGTAGATCCTAAATGATCATGAAAAATGTGTATGCAATTCCTCGTATCTAGAATACGAATTGCCTTTACGAGAATATTTCACTGGACAAACTCAACTAATTTTCAGTGTTCAATACTCTGTGGTCCGAAAAATGCATCGACAAGATGCTATTCGCAGAGCAATAGGGGGTTTCGATGTGAATTGCAATTACAAATCCAACAATATCTCGACATTCTTGATTTCCATCATATCTCGTGGGTCTGTCACATCGTTGATGATCCAACTGCCCCTCGTATTATGGTGAAATGGTATGAGTTAAGGACCAGATGAGAACTAATCTTATAGCAATTCATCTCGGAATGAAGCGTGCTCAAAGATATTCAAATGACTTGAACCTTTCAGGAAGTATCTCATGTCTCTCACACAATCGTAATGGAAACGGAATATCTCGCAAGTCGTAATTTTCTCTGATTGCAACTCCTCTTTCCATTGTTCGCATTCATCATAGCGCGTGTTGATAACGAAATTAGTAGAGACACTTTGTATCAATTAGTACTTTTTGTGACTAACGCTCCTTGACTCCTTATCACATTCACATTTTAGGTAATGGCGAAGTCAGAATTTAGACTGCCTGGGTCAATCAATATTGAGGATCTTCAGCAATTCCGTCCTGATATTTCCACCTATTTTCAAATGTATCCCACGTTGTGATGATATTCATCTGTATATTTTTGTTCAACAACTCGAAAATACATAATTTTCTGGATATATTTCAATTTAAACTTTCGCCTTAGTTCCATTCCGACTGCAATAGTTATAACTATTTTCTTGTTGCTAATTATATATAATTATCGATAGATCATATTGAAATCATCTTTCGATATTGAGGAAGTCATGATTACGATACCTATGCATATTCGACATTGATTTTCATCTGGTATATTTTTGAAAAGCATCTTAATCAATAATACATGATTCATCTGACCTCCGCCATTGTCTTGTTCAGTCTAATCGATAAATGGTGAGGCATTATGGTATTTGTAGATGAAAATCATATCTTGGCAGAATAAGAGTTGCCTCATGTCTGTTTTTCTCAGTGAGAAATCGTTTCGATGGATATTCGTTCTTTTACAGAACGAAATGAAGAATGAGCTGTATAAATTTGCGAAACTCAGCAGCTAGAGAGAAATACTATATGAAGTTCCACAACCAATCTCATTCTTCATCTACATCAACAATAAACTCACCCTCAGAACAGATGGCGTGATAATTAGTTTAGCAGATGATACTGTCACGATTAGAACAAACGGTATATCAGTAATTTCGAACAATGAGAGTTTCATAAAATTCCGATCAAATAAATCATGTTATCATTGAATGCTGATCAAGAAACTCTCATTGAAAACGTGCATGTTCATTCAAAAGAAATGAACATGAATATTGAATGTGAAAGTTCCGAAAATAGTTTGGTCTAGAACTACTCTTCACTCGATGAGAACTCGTCAATATTGTTATCATAATGTTGATATTTGATTGCCATACTCATTGTTATTTATTCAAATTCATAATCATTTCCCATAACGTTTTATGCTTCAATTCATATTGTCATCCATGCATTTAATGATAATATCAATAATAATGATCTTTATTTTCCTTTTGATAGTAAAAAAAAACCATTTAGGAATAGTCAAGGAAACAGAACAATGAAATATCATTGCATCGTCAAGTTAAATAATCTTCAAGGAAGTAATAACATGATGATGTCAAAAATTCATTCAGTTTGCATTCGGAACAGTTAATCTTTACGATATACTCCAAATCATTGGGTTGTTGATTGGGGTACATATATTTCGTCGGAACGTATTATAAAAGAACTGTTTTTCATCAGAATATACTTTGTTATAATGGTATTTCCAAGGAATAGAATTTCATAGGATGAGAAATTCATCGCGAAATAAATCAGCATAACGTAACATATCATGTAGTGAAATGAAAAAATTTACTTCGATGGAACGTAAAACATCATACCGTGAATCTAAGAGATGGCAATTCATCAAAACCGTATTTCGTAGCTACAGCACCTCTGCTGCTACTACTACCAAGTCTCTGCTAGTAAACTCTGGAACAGAAATGAAATAAGTGTTTTTGCAGAGCAGCAACGCTGCTCTCGGATTGTCATGTTCGTTAGAGTAAATTAACTTACATGTTTGGGTTGGAAGTCCTTTGATTCGACTTCCATGGGTCCAAGGCTCTTGGATGAAGGCTACGTTGAGCCTTCCGCAAAAAAACCTTTTGCTGTAAGCACGTCCGAAGCAGCTTTTGCATGATGGAGGTTCATTTGCAGGCAGCCTATTTTCTCGAAGCCTTCGACTTCTTAGGGGACACTTTGGCCCCTTTGTTTTTGAGCTTCTTGTTGCTCGATGGTGTTGGAGTTGGTTGGTTGGGCTTCTTCGGTGCCCTTGTCTCGTCCAGACTTCAAAGTCCACTAGGGCCTGGTGCTCCATCTGTCGCCGGGAGCTGATCAATAGCCTCAGAGGCTGGAGCCTCTGAGGTAGAAGACCCCTGCCCCATTGAAACAGACGTGGCACCCTCCCCAGCTTCCATAGGTGGGTTGCTCTTCGGCCTGAGTAAGACTTGGACAAACTTGTAACCCACCCTAAAGCCTCTCTTTTTCAAGATTCCAAACGATGTGAGGTCCACCGAAATAGTGAGCTCTGCAGAACTTTTCTCGTTGGACCTACGGAGAACCCTCTAGTCCGTTGAATTGAGACCTTTGTTCTGGGCTTCGACGAAACCCAAGATCTCTTCCGTTGAGTCGTCCTTGCTGGCTGGGAAGTATCCCACTACAATCTGGGCGTGAGGAATATCAGATTCCTTTAGCACCCTCAGGGATGCTTCTGTCCAGGGTGTTAGTTCTCCTGCTTTGTCAATTAGCCACTTCGAAGTGGCTTCATTGGCACAGGTCAGAACTAGGTAGCCTGGTTTGTTGGTGGAGCCCAAGAAGGAGGGTTTCACATCTCCTTTTTTTGTTTTTCATTATTTTTCCAAGAATCGCTTTCTGGAGGGCATCTAGTCGCTCCGTACTCAGAAGAGCTTCCGGGAATTTTTCCGCCACGATACCCACTTCAACGCTTTCGGCAACTTGCCCCTTTATATTTTTGGCACGTTTTGGAGGCGCTTTGTCAGGGGTGCTGCCCTCTGATCTATTTCTCTTGGAGGTAGGCTTACCAGAGGGTCCCGCTGCAGCTATTGGCTTCAAGGCAAGAAGACGGGCCTCTTCTGGAGAGTGCCCTCCTTTTACCAACCATTTGAAGCGTTTCCTGGCCGCTCCATTAAGTTTTGTCCACTCAGGCTTCGGCAGCCTTACAGTAGATTCTTTCTCCTCTTCTGATGACAGGAGGAGTTTTTCTTCGGTTGCCTCAGGAATGGCAGGACTTTTAGGCAGATTCATTTCCATTCCTTCAGGGCCGACTGGAAGGACATCACTGTCCTCTACGGTGGTTTTGTTTGTTTCAATGCTACTCATTATTGATCCCACGAGTAGCTAGGGAAATAAAGGTCGCCTGCAGCAGAGCCCCGCATTACCACAGGAAGACTGTTTGAAACCGAAGGTCGCCTGGTATCCGGAGTTCGCAAAGTAGCTATTGAGCTCCCCCTCAATCATGCAGTCCTCGGCGCTTGCTGTTCCACCTTAACTTGGAACAAGGGATATACCGCTCCGGCCCGGTCTCCAGAGCCTCGTTTGTAAGACAACAGGGTACACCAACGAGTAGGTCAGGATGAGAGTAGGGCAGGAGTGACTGTGTTTTGCGTGATTACTGCCCCATTCACTACCCCGACTAGGACCTATAGTTTTCGAAATGTTGAAGATCAAAGTGCGGTAAAAAACAACAATTCACTTTCTTCGATCAATCGAAACACCAACAAGTTATTGTGAGGGATTTCGTAAATTTCATAACATATTTTTGATTTACAGTTCCAAATCAGTCTTTCTGATTTTTCCAGAATCTTCAACTCAGAAATGAAAAATGTGATTTCTGAACTCGCAAAAAAAATCGCGGAGGCTTCGACAGACGATACAACGATCTTCAGATGCTAATTATGAGCTTACACGATTTCTTCGCAGGTTCAAAAATAGAATTTATTTTCTATGATGAAAATTCTGTAAAAATTCAGATACACTTATCACAAACTGTGAACCAAAAATATGTGATTAAATATCCGATTTTTTTCACAATAACTTGTTATCTATCTATGAAAGGAAGTGAATGATTATTTGCAATCTCCATTGTGAATTGGGCGTAGTTATGCAAAAAGGAACCAAGCGACATGATTGTCGAAACTAAGTACTATGCATATGAATAGAAGCTAAATTTTCATCCTTATTTTGGCAAAAAAGCACCAATGGAATTTCAAATTCAATTTCGAGAAAAGGATCATCTGGAATCATGGACATCAATTCATTTGTTATGCATTAAATGAACTACGTGAGATGGTTCACGTAAAATGAGTCTTTTCAATATATCTCTGTTCTATAATTTCTCAGTACCTGTATCATTGAGATGGATCCAATTACTCTTTAGGTTGATACCAAAATCCCACGATAATTCAAAATGCAATTTTTAAATTATATTTGTTTATGGAAATTTAAATTGAATTTTTTTCCATTGAGTTCTCTATGTTTTTCCACATGTGATGAGATAGAAAAGTAGCGAGGGAAGATATCACTGGTTTTATCAATAATGATTCATAACCTGTAAAGGTCAATATCAACTTACTTTCTGTCGCTTGGTTCCATTTTGCATAACTGCGTCCGTATGCAAGGATGTAACTTGTTCAGAAAATCAAGAAGAAGGTGTTCTTCCGCAAGTTTACCATCAAAAAGGACCAAAAAATCATCCACATATCTATACCAAAAACGAGTTTTGTTGAAAAATGTAAATTCTTTCAATTTGTGTTCAAGATCATGTGAAAAGATTTGTGCTAATAAAGGAGAGAGATTGCTCCCCATGACAAGCACAGAATTCTGGGAATGAAAAGTGTTATCAAATTGGGAGAAATTCTGTTGTGATACAATATTCAAAAGAGAGCACAATTTCAAACAGTGGAACGTTGAAATGCCAGAATCTAAAAGTAGGTTTCTCACTAATGAAATACAATCATCTGGAGGAAAACTAGGTAATGAGTTGACCACATCAAGAAACAATAAAATGGAGTTGTGGGGGATGTTGAAAGTCTTAATTTTGTTGGTAAGATCAAAAGAGTTTTTACTGAAATCTGCTTCCTTGGCAGTCCCCGCGAGATTAGCACGTCAAGTTGAGGCTCCGCAACCCTTCGTGGTCACTTTGGACACCTGCAGAACATCTTTCTCTGAAGACTCGTTCATTCAACGAACAGCGAGGCTCTGGAACATATTGCCAAGGGAGGTGTTTCCTGAGGCATATAACCTCTAGAAATTTATAAAAAACACCAATTCCTACCTCATTCTCCTTGGTTCACACGATGTTCCCTGAACATCACAGGATATCTCTTCTTGTGAACCAGAACATGAAAAAAATATATATGAATATTTGATCTCCATATTCATTGTTATTTTTTTACATCTATCATCACTACTCCCATATTGTGTTCCGGTTCGATGAATACTGTTATCACGAAGAGGAGAAACTCAAAGTCATTACCACAATAGTTCATAAAATGAGCGAAAATGAGGAAATGATATAAAACGAAAGGAGAACACATACTCTTCTGTATGAATGCCACGCAAAACAATGGATTACATTCTCCTGATATCTATGAAACGTTTCGTGAAGACGAATAAAATTGCAAATGTATTCTTCCTAGATGCTGAATTGTGCTCGAATTACTCAGGTACGCATGAACTAACTGCAGACCAGTTTCAAGCTTTTTGCTCCCTTTAGTACAGGGTTGTCGGTCAGATAGTATCCTTTACCGCTTGACCGCTAGACCAAGGCATTCAACGTCCGAGAAATGAACGCGAACGCCATACGCCACCTGGCAGGAAAATAAACATTGCAAAACAAGATCTCAATTCAGATGGAATGGAAGTGGCAGATCGCATGACTCGCGTATCTTTCACTTGGAAAGAGCTAAATACTCAAAGTAGAATGCAAAAGTCACAAAGAGAGAGGAACCTTAATTCATTACCACAATAGTTCATAAAATGAACGAAAATCGTGAATAACGAGTTGAAAACAATTAATATCCTGGCAATATGAACATTGAATTACATTCTCTCAGAATATATGAAACGATCCGTAGGAACGAATGAGACTGCAAATGTTTACTTCCTCAATGCGGAATTGTGCTTTGATATTTCAGGAATGTATGGACCACCTGAGTTGTTGTTGCTTGCGTTAAGCTAGTTGTCAGTACCTCTGAGAGAAAATTTATATTTGACTCGGATGAAATACATAACAAGAAATCTGAAATGATTTGATGGAAGCATCATGGTTCCGGTCATCATTGAGTAATCTACTCTGAAAATACAGGCAGTGTTATTCCGGATCAACTGGAAAACCACGATGCCATCAATGACTATTCAGTTAACTCCTTTGTAAGTGACCACTCTCCAGATGCGGCTACCTTGAATTTTCACTCAGGAAATACACGACCCAGCGTGACCAATTTCAATTTTTCTCCAACTACTGAGACAGAAATATACAAAGTCTTTTTATTTATCGAATCTAAGGCAAATAGGGTTGACAAAATCAATATTGATATGTTATTGTACTGCTGCCCTTTGATTTTTCCAATCGTCTGTCACATCTTCAATTTCTGTATCGCGAACATTGTCTTTCCTACTATCTGGAACAAATCTTTTATCATTCCTCCACCCGAAATTCCCAATCCAGTGGAGTTCAAATCACTTCGTCCCATCAGCATTCTATGTACCTTATCAAAAGCTCTCATTGAAATAGTTATCTCTTATATTCAGGATCACTTACAATCCAACAGCATCATTTCCTTCCATCATTCTGGATTGTCGACCCCAACACAGTTGTGTAACAGCATTGACCAAGGCCACAGACGACATTTTCATCGCGACGGATCAACAACAGCTCACTGCTCTGGTTATGCTCGACTTCAGCAAGGCTTTTGATAGAATCAAGCACCTGTTGTTGTTGGCAATACTTCATTATACTGGTTTTTCTGCATCCGCTTGCACGGATTTCCTAACTTAAACGTCCCTGCATACGTGGTGTTAGCCAGAACCGCGAGACTAGAGTGCGCGTAATGCGCGTGTGCGGTGTGCAGGATGGAAGGAGGTTAGGTTGGGGGGCAAGGAGAGGGATTATGAGAGTGGCGGTACTGGTGGTTAGATCATTCTTTGATCTTGCTAGATTGTGAGGATTTTGAAATATAATAAGACAATAAGTAGTGAGTAAGGAAATGTGTTGAGAAGGTCATCGAGCCCATGTATTTTAGCTATAGGACCTGGTCCAGGTATTTATGAATCTCGTTTATTTGCTGATTGCATTGTAACGTTTTGTTTCAACAACACAACTACAATCTCTCGTACCCCGAACCGAATTCGGATGTCGTTATTTATTGTGAGATTGTTACACGCTACTTGCTTGCTAGGAGTTTACTTGAACAACCGCTTGCAAGCGGTTTTATTAGGACGTGACTTTTCTGACTTTCTGATAGAAAACGAAGTTTATTGTGGATCGAAATTGGGACTGGTGTTATTTATACTCTATACCCATGAGATCCATTATCACATAAAATACTGTGATAGTCACTCTCATGCAGATGACACACAGTTATACATATCATTTTCTGAAAAAAATCTTCCGCTGGCTAATTCCCAACTGAACTCTCATCTGGATGCTATCATCTCGATATCTTGAAAATTCTATCTCTCAATAAACCCCACCAAAACTTCTGCTATTCTTTTTGGGAGGAAGGTCGCTCGTAGTTGTTGCAAGAACTCGATGACGATGAAAGTCGAGGCAGAAACTATTCCCTTCTCTGATAGCTCGAAACATCTGGGAATTATTCTTGATTCCTCGCTAAATTCCAGTGGCCATGTAAATTTAATCGTTCAGAGAGCTTTCTGTGACCTCAAATTGATATATGCCATCAAAAAATGTGAGATAAAAATGACAAAATAACCGTCTGTGAGTCGCTAGTTCTCTCAAACTTGAACTACGATGACACTATTTACGGACCCGCTATCACCAAAAGAGACGCTCAGCAAATACAATTGATTCAAAACTCTTGTGTACGTTTAATTTCCGTACTGAGCAGACGAAATCATATCTCTTCCCCTCTCCAAGAACTCGGATGGCATGATACCGAATAAAGAAGAATACTACACCATTGCACTTTATTTCATAATATAATAACTTCGGCAAAAACCACCCTATCAATACGACAAAACCTCATGTCGTACGGAAGTGCACAACATCAATATCTGGCACAAATCACGACTTACGCCACCTCAGCACTCCACAGCCTAGTTTCAATCGTCATTCTCCTTCACTTCAACCAGGCTTTACGATAGAATTCCGGAACGGTTCAAAACTATATCCACTGCATGTTTCAAAAGTAGTTTCAAAAAGAGACAACTGTCAGAAGAAATATCTCTATGATGCCTTTTACTTCCTGGTGAATTCTTCAATTTTTTGTTCTTACTCAATATACCTTATTCAATATGTATTCACTATTCTGAGCAGTTCTATTTTATTGATACATTACTCACTCCATAGGTTGAGTGGAAGAAAGCACTTGCTCGACTCAACACTGAGTCCAAACCAGAGCTAACTCTGCCTTTTGATAGATGATGTCATTTGTTCACCTTCTTTTGTTAACCATCATCTGTCAATAAAAGCGAATATTATTATTATTTTTAGTAGTAGTACTAGTAGTTCATGTACTTCGTTGGTATGTATATACATGTCAACTGGTAACCTCACAAGAGGTCTTTCAGGTCATATGTGTTTCATGTAGACTTTGATACTAACTTCATACGCCACCTTTGGAGCAGCACTGTTAATTTTGACGCAACAGCGAATGGTGCGGTATCATCTCCGGCCGAGACTACGGCGAAATCATAACTCGTTTCATCAATGAAAACCTTGTGCTCTGCAAGAGACTTACAAATCAAGCATCCATTTTATGTCCTGATTTGCTAGTCCAGCGCTCAACCACTGCGTCATTTTGCCGTTATACAATTCAATCGTCATAGCGGTATGTACAAGCATTTTTCTTATAAAACCTAGATTTGAATTCCATAATATTCCCAGGTAGCCAGACTGACGAATGTGACGTCTGTAGGACCGCTATCTGAGGTCTTTTTTGGTCTCAAACGTCTTTTGACCAAATTATGACGTCATGCGGACGTCATTAATGTGACGTCTTAAAGACAGCCACTGTTTGACGTCGTATAGACGTCAATCTATGGTCTACATATTTTTTTGGGTATTATTATCATTATCATTATTATTATTACTATCATTATTATTATTATGATCATCATTATTATTATTACTATTATTATTATTATCATCATGTATGTATAGGAAAACGAAGTTATAAAATAAATTAATTAATTTATCCAAATAACTGTATGAATGTATGATAAAAATGTATTTCATTCCATAGGCTTCCCTTGATTTCCAATGTTGAAATTTAGCGCCAAAGACAATCCTCACTTACCGACCAGATGGCCAATGGCGATCAAGTAATTACGCGAAGAGATTGTGTATGCGACTTGCGACCATCTCGCGATTGTCGTTAGTGGCGTTAGTGCCGTTCAGCGGTCCGTTCTGTGGTTCAGCGTCAAGCTTGCATCGTGCATGGTGCGTTCCCGTTCATGTTCATTGTCCATCGTCCATGTTCGAATGGGTGTTGTTTGTGAACGGCGTCTGGGCCATTGGATTTGTTGAGGATGTTAAAATGTTGAGTGTTTGAGTGGTATTTCTATACAGTCTGTTTTTCACGTGAAAGTATTCAGGATGTATTGTGTAATACAATTTGATGACAGTGGAAGCAACAGTGTAGCTGTTGTTCACGAAACTTGGCTGACGCCGTTGAAAAAGGAAGTGTTTTGGCCGCCATTTAAAGACAGCAAAACATACAAAAGAGCTATCTGTGAAGGGGAGCCATCGACGCGGAAATTTTCAACTATATATAATACCTTACATTACTATCTTGTTAATAAAATCTTCATTCGTAGCAAATTTATTCTATAGCACAAATGATTACCTTCCTCACCAGATTATAACCATTGACCTCAAAATTTGAAAAAAAAAAACAGACGTCTCCTTGACCTCGGAAATTGGTCAGTAGTGTCAGTTTGAGGTCCAATTTGAAAACACAAACTGACGTCTGAAAGACTTTCAAATATGACGTCATTTGGATGTGTCTTACTTACGTCATTTGGACGTGCATTTGTTGAAATAAAAACGTCTTTTGGCCGAATGTGATGCCGTCAATTAGACGTCATATAGTCGTCATGTGCTACCTGGGTTGTTGAACAATCTTCTAATGGTTGACTTGTCCATTTTCAGTCCCTGCATCAGTGAAACCAAGTGGATTATAGGAAACGTTGTGTATTTGAACGAAGGAAACAAAAAAGTTTCACCAAAAAACGGCGAGAATCATAAGCAGTAACTTTGATAAATCGAGTAAACTTTGACTCAGAACGGACACTCAATATTCTCACCTGGAGTGGACTGCAATGGCTTCCGAAGTCTGGAATCTTGATGTTCTGGCGGCCGTCCCTTTCGAAACGTACATTTTCCGGTGTGATTTCGCCGACGCGACACTGCGATGCACGACTGTTACGTATCGGTATTGTACATACGTGGATGAGTTACATGAAGTTCACACCACAAATTCGATTAATTTTGTTCTGGAGCGAGAGTTCCAACGTGTTTTTTCAGCTTTCGATATATCAGAGGAAGAGGGGATATTATTCGGTCGTATCATTCCTCGATAGGATGACAAGCAATCATTTTGTGTTCTGCTGGATTCAAGATGAGAAGTGATATAGAGGGCGCTATATTGAATAGATTGAAACGAATATTCGATGAAACAGGCCACATCTGATACGAAATTGCGAAATAAAATCACGAAAAGTGAAAAATGTCTGAATGGCATCATATCCAGCGACGAAAGTACTTTCTATAGGGACGTTTTTGTGACAGGTACAACTATTATTATTATCATTACAACGAACAATTATTTTCGTTGGAATCAAGGTCCATTACATTGCGTCCATTACTGGATGTTGCAGCAGAATAACAAGCGTTAGTACGGCGCCATCAAGAAACGGACACTCTGGGCGACGCTTTCCAGACGCTTAATCAGCCGGCATTCATTTTATTGATGGGCGTTCAAATTTCCATACTGAAATGAAAACGATCTGAATATGAAGGTGATGATAATATCAATAATGGATGATAAGATTGTGATAAGATCTTTATTTTGAAGGTTGACGTCATACATTTTCGTGAATTAGTAGCGCTGATCATTCATTAATGAATTTTTTTAGTGCTGAGTACTGAACGAATGAACCACTCAAATAATATGATGATGAGTTGATAATTTCATTGAAAAAATATATCATATCTGCTATTGCGTGAGAATGCAACACCATAACTAGAACATCTCCAAAAGGTGTTTTTTCTAGAGCCGTATAACTTGTATTTATGATATCTCTTTACATCTATCAGCAAATACGCACTTCTGCGATACGCAGTATACAGTCTGTTCAAGATAAGGTTGCACAGCATGGGAATCTCGGAAACGGTAGAAGATACGCAGTCGGATGGATGGGAGTAACGTTGCGCATTCGGAGGCTCATACCAACAGCCGTAGAAAATTGTCGAAATTGTTTTCAGTTTTTCAGTTATATCGAATTGAGTAAATTTCTGGAATATATATCTTATTTTTTTCTCCGTTATTATTTGGGATACAAAAAAACTGAGAATACTTCTTTCAAGCAACTTTTGATGACGTTCAACGTCGTGGCACCGATTTATTTATGCGGCGTTTTTTATTTGTAAACCATCATCAACTTTCTTTTTCAAATACGGTCTTGATGATTTTTTCTTAGCTTCTGAAAGCCTCAATTTCGAATTCAATCATATATTAAACAAGGTGATTCGAATGTGTTTTGGGTTATTTCTATCCATCATCAATGTTTTTTCGAAATTACAGAGGAAAAATGCCATCCGTTCCACTTATTTCTGATCAGTTAGTGTCAAACATTGATGGAGTGGTTATTCAATACTGGAAAATTGAGGAGAAATATTTCACCAAATTATTCAATGCAGCGCTTTGAATTGTTGATGAATTTCTACATGAGTTACTTCAATAACTTAACTTTGAGAATACCAACAGAAACATTCATGAAAAATTTTCAAAATGATAACCATTATTTTTCAAACAAAGATATCCTCTTCTCACAGTTCTTTTCAAGACATTATTTAGCATTTTTGGGGTCATATCATTGATTGCTTGAAAATTTTGACATTTCCTGGTATACTACTCACAGAATGTTCTGCGCCTTGCATCATCGCCTGGTCTTAGCGCTTGACGTATTCTGAATTTGTAAGGATGGAAGTTTCGTTTCAACAAAATGAAATGGTTTTTGTTTGGAAACAGTTGATAAGGTATCAGTCTGTGGACGAATTTTCTTTCAAAATGGGTATTAAAAACATTGATGATAGCTGAAAATAGGTCGAAACACATTCAAACCACCTCGTATAATACAAGGTTGAATTTCAAATGAAAAATACTTTCAGAATCTGTGGAAAAATTATCAGGACTGTATCCAAAAACAAAAGTTGATGGTAGTTGTACAAATACGAAACATCGCATGAAAAAATTGATATCATCACGTTTAACGATACCAAAAGTTGCTATAGAAAAATATTTTCAGTTTTTCTGTTCCTCTTATATTAACGGAGGAAGAATTCACTCTCATCGATATTACTGGGAAACTAAATACAATTTCGAAAATTTTCCTCCGAGTGCGCAACTTCTTTTCCATTTAACCGACTCCGAATCTCCTATCGTTTCCGAGATCCCCATGCTGTGCAACCCTATCTTGGACAGACTGTATGTATAAGATATAATATATGAATTCGATTTGTTATCATAAAAAAAAATCGATAATGTATTGAAATACTTGGTGTCCTATTGAAAATATGGAAGATGACGTCTTTCTCGGAAGAATTTTCCATTTCACAGTAACAAAAATATCTCAGATGCATTGCCAGAGAAGAGATAAGCTGAGAGAAAAAAGGACCCCGCAAATTTTCAAGGTAATTTGGGTCCCGGTGGATTTTTCTCAATTTTTGGTATGATGTAGTTCATTTGATTCAATTACATATTGGCATTGCACCAACCCCCAAAAATGAACAGTTTTTTTGCTAGGGGGGGTTGAATTCACATTTTGACCGAATTGATTATTTATTTCTGAGAGAATGAACAATATTCTAGAATTTTTTATTTCATCTAATTTCTCCTATGAATATATGCTTTTTGAAAAAAATATAGTGAGGGGGAATTATTACCCCAAACTCGCATTTTGAAAAACGAAAAAAAAAAAAAAAAGAGAATTCGCCTAACCGTCAAAAGTGATAGAGAATGTTCCATTACCCAGAATTATGGAAACCGCCTTTTTGTATTATTGCCCTTCACCGAATGGGAGGCGCCCATGAAAAAAAAGTTCGGTGGATTTCGCTGAATTTTTGATATGATGTACTCTATATGATACTGATCAGAAAATAATTGGGTGACAATCCTGAAAAATGGACAGTTTTCCTGCTACAGGGGATTCAATTCACATTTTGAACACATAAATAGACTAGATGAGCACCTATTTAATTCTGAACTTCTTTCCAATATATCATCTCCATTCCCTATATTCCCTGACAATTATTCATCAAAAAATATTTTGAGGGGGATTTCCTACCCCTTCAAAAAGTATTTTGAGAAATATAAAACAAAAAAAAACAGTGCTACTGTATCTAAAGAGCATAAGAGAATGATTAATTACGTGAAATTATAGCAAAAGCTCTCTTGCATGATTGCTCCTTCTCCACCAAGTGGGGGGGTGCGCATGAAAAACATCTTTGGTGCATGGATTTACACTGGATTTTTAATATAGGTATAATGTGGTTGTATTCCATGTGATTATGGCTGT